CCATCTGTGTGGAGATGCTACGCTCCCGAGAGGGCTTCTGCACAGAACGCCCTTCCGTGTCGTGTACCAAACCTGCCATTTTAACCAGGTAGCGCTCCATCAGCCAGCACTTGCTTTTCCCAAGCAGGATAGAAGTGAACCGCTTCCAAACTTAGAGGTGGGACAGCAGGCGGAAATGCACGGTCGGTAACAAACGCCTCGGAGCTGCAGTGCCTGGCTCGGGTTGGGGACACAATTCTGTCATCTTTGTCAAAAAAAAGAACTCCAGAGATCTTTCCGGCAGGATCTCTGCCAGGCTTGCTGCCGCCGCTACGTTCCATGGCGCAGTCACAGGGACTCTGGCTTAGTCGTTTCAGACAGTCTCGGCACTAGGTAAAATATCCAGCAGGGGCTTGCTTAAAACTCGAAACAGAGACTCTTAAACCAAAGCGTCTGAGGTAAGTGGCTCACAAAACATCGGTGTCAGCGTAGTTTCTGAGACGCGACTGTGCCGCCTTTCTGGCCCATTCCCCCTGCCTGGCACGCTCTGATCTCTCTATGCTTCGCACTCTCTCCAGCACGAGTCTCTCTGTGCCATAATACCTTTCTTTTTCTAGATGTGCACACTGGCCAAATAATCTCCTCGTGTCTTGATCGACTGCCGATTGAGATTATTTCCCGATCTAGCCAGCCAGCATGGGCTTAACTCTTAGCATGGATGCGTGGCGTGCTATGCCCTCCCCTCCCGCACACGTTTCGCAGTGCTTGCGATGGCTTTTCCCTCTCCCCTCACACCTTTGCTGCCGGACAATCGTTCCCTGTGTCATAGATGGACTGACCTGGTGCTGTCCCTGCCTGCCTTTCCTTGCCGCAGTCTGTATGCTCTTTAAGTGAATGTGTTTTATTTTTTTTCAGTAGGTAAAGGACTTCCTTCTGCTGAAGGAATTATATTTGCACATGGCTCAGGGAGGTACCTCCTCTGGCCGTTTCTGTTACCTCACTCATTTAGGCCAATTCCATTGCTAACATTAAATGGCCACCTTCCCCAACCCAAACTCCGAGAACAGTTAGGGAATAAAACCAACGCGCAGCCTCAGGTTCTAGAGCCATTTGGTCGCGTCTCAGCTTCGGCCCAATCTGCCCCAGCGGCATTAGGATTGGGGAGAGCGGCCGTTACAGAACGGCAACTTTATCCAGCAAAGAGGTGGAGCCTGTGCCACACGCGCACGTCGTTCCCCATCTTCGCAAGCCCACCTCCCTTGTGGTAGCGCTTAACGGAGCAGATTCCGAATCACTGACCTGGCTCTTGGCCCGACGAGGTCCGCGGGAGGGAGGAGCAGCAGAACCGTTGCAGGGTTACAACCGCCCGGGACTGGCATCGTGTGGCTGTGCACCCCTGGGACGTTACCATTCTCCCGGCAGTTCACCTCCCATCGCTGCGCCAGGGCTGGATAAAGCTGCTAAAAACCTGGAGCGTGTTCTCCCCGCCTGGGGCCCTGGATCCTGCAACCCCAATTGCTGTGCGTAACTGCAAATTAACGAGGATGGCCTCACGTCTGCAAGGAGTGGGAGTGGGTCGTACAATCACCCGTAGGTGTGTGCTTCCCTTCTGGATTTCGCCGCCGGAGCCCGGGAAGCGGGGGGCTGTTGGCCAGGGCCGATGCGCCTGCAGCGCTAACGTGAACTCTAGGGTGGGGTGGGGGAGGAACCGTGGTTTTGTTTCAGGAGATGTCTAACTGTCATAAACTTTGCGCTGTGCGCAAGGTGCGGTAAAACGATAATGAAACTTACCTGCTAGAACCTAGGAATTGTAAAGGCTATGCAGCCAAAACTTAATGTAAAGTAGCTAGTACAATGGAAGTACGGTATAAATTAAAAAAAAAAAAAAAAAACCATTCTTACTTAGTATATTGTAATCCACTGGGGGCCTCTATACTGTACATTGCCTGCTAAATTATTTGTTTCATAAGACTAAACAGAACAGCAAGCCAGGAGTAGCTTACAGTAATATTTTAATTTGTCTGTGTGTGTGTGTTGCTTTTGGTGTATCACTGAAAAGTATTGTAAATACAGCACGACTCGTGAGTGCTTTGTTCTTTTTATTATCCTGCCTATTCTAAAGTCTCTTCTGTCATTTCCAAATACAGAGAGATTCTTTTCAGAGACCAACCAGGACCGTCTCTCCCAGGACACAGCCTGCCTTTACCACCACCCTTGAAAAATCCCTGTTGGGTTGGTTTTGGTGTTTGGTGGGGTTTTTTTATTTTTCTAGGAGAATCTTGAGCAGAATTTACACACCATTTTCTCCTGCCTAGAACACCACAGGTTAATAGTCACATCTGTCTGCAGGAACTGGAAAAGTCAAAGATATGTCCAAAAAAAGCATCTTGGGAAGATGCATGTGAGATACCGGAAGGTGTAGGACTAGAGGACGGCCCTTTACCACCTGAGGTAGCTCTCAAGAAGTTCTCAGTTTACTCCTTTTTTGACTTAACATTATGACACCAGAGAGTTATCGATGCGTCACGGGGACTGAGGAGCAGAGTCGAAGCGGGAGAGAGGTTACGTGACCTTACCTAAAAATCACCGTGGGTGCCAATGCCGTGGTCAGTGATGGGAACTCTGGAGTTACAATCTAGTCTCTCCTCTGTCGCTGTGGGTTTAGAGTTAGGATTATGCCCAAAATTGCCCTGAGGCCGGGCAAGTTGGCCTAGGGAAAATGAAGACACCCGGCTGAATTAGAAGAGGAGCTGCTTTGTCCCCTTTTGGATATTGGGTTTTAAGGAACTGGTGCCCAGACTACAACTGTGCTTCATCTGAAAAATGCGCTCGCGTTGCCAGACTCTGCTCCGGCCTTGAGAGCGATCCTACTGTGAAGCAGTCGTTTGCTAAAGTTGACACCCACTCTAAAACCCGAATTTTGAACAACTGCCAGTTAGAAATCTGGCCTGGGCCTGACTTACAAATGGAGTCATTTCTGTGATTTTAGCAACACATAAAAAGCAGCAGAACAAAGCAGAGGAAATTCCGTAGGTGGGAAGCATGCCTTAATTCACAAGCACTTTAACTACTTCGAAGCGGTCAGTGTAGCAAAATGTCAACTCTTGCAAGCAGTACAGGCTCCATTGCAGCAGGGATGTAACAACATCTGCTATATGCAAAAACCCCAAACCTTCCCCCATTTTGGTACAATTCCACCCCAGCCAATGTTTCTGCCTTTTTTTTCCTCCTTGCAATCCTAGCTGTTGAGCTCAGCTGATCTACATTTGAGGCCAGAAAACAGATTTTACTCTACTTAATCCACTACAATTGAAAGGTAAGTTTGCATAGGAAACATTGAATTTCCAGTGCGATTCCTGTGCAGCAGTGGATCATTTACGATGAATGCCGACTATTCAAACCAGTGACTAATTATCACCGGCAAGAATTCCGATTAACTAGGAAAAAATAAGCATTTTCTGTCTGTTCCTCTAGGTGGTGCTACACGATAGAGTATGAGAAGACTGATAACCACAGTTAACAAAAAGTACTACCAGTTTACAAAGCTGTCCGTCCTTATCCTGTGAGGGCTGTGCCTCCTATTTACTTTGCTTGCCTACTCGCATCAGGCTGTCTTCCTTTTGGGGGGTTTCCCCAGAACAGGTGAACTTCGTACCTCCTCCTACTGGCTTGCCTGTTGTTGCAGAACGCGGCTCCGCAGGTTATTCCTATCACTGTGTCTCTGCGTACGTGAGGAGTAAACCTGCTACGCAAGGCAAATAAATGGAAGGAACTAAGAATTTTGACGCTTGCTAAACGAAAAGGGGGAGTAGAGGGGATTCTTATACTTACGTCATACCGCCTCCCGAAGTAGGAGTACTTCAGGATGTGTATTCTCAGTTTCCTCCTTCAGAAGCAAGTGCGAACATGGCACAGGGACTCATCCTTCCTACTACACGCTTTCAACAATTCTAATGCATCACAGGTCCTCATCCTACTCTGCCTGTGCACGGGCAGCCCAAAGTCCAGAGCAACAACTAATTAAATTCTTCCTGTTTAACACCAGTAAGAGTGCTTGGGCTGTAAGGTACAGTGGAACATCACCCTAAGGTGACCTCATTCCCAGTCCTGCAGGTCAGAGTAACGTGACATACATACCCTTTACCTCTGCAATGGAGAACTCGCATATTTAGGAAATAAAAGTGGTGGTGACAGCAGCTAAGAAATGACAATATTTACAAAGCCATTAACGTGATGATGGGACTGAAACTTGGGAAGGAGTCATGCTGCCCACACCCCTGTGCCCTTTGCTCAGCATGCTTCAAAAGAAGAGTCCTCCAGCAAATGGGCTGGCAGCTCAGAATGGAGTCATGAGGCCAAAGTCAAGGCTGTACAGAGTCCAAGGCAAATGGAAGAGAATTTACACTTCCCCATATTTCCTCCTGACGGCGCAGAGCTCCCCCTCAAACCTGGCTGGCATGACGCGGTCCTTGTGTCTTCAGAGCCCCTGCAATTGAGAGAATTCCTCTTGGAGCACAAGTCGTTTGACCTTGCTGAAGTGAGGATCGTGATACAATTAGCATGATAACTGACAGGACGAGAGCAAGACTTAAAAAGACCTAGATTTTGGTCTTTCGCACACAAAGCCCTTCCTAGCAGATGCCGCCTTTGGAGATAGTGCCCTTACGTTCCTCCTGAGCACAGCTCCCCAACTGCAGGGGACAGTGACTATTCCCAACTCCACAGGAATGGGCAAATGAGGAGTAATTACACCATGGCCTGAGAGTGAACATATGGTTAGGGATTTGAAGTAATATTAGTACACCCACCATCTAAAGATACCTATACTGCTTCTCAGGTCACTGGGGCAGCTCCAGAGAAGGAGCACAGCCAGACTCCAGGAGTCTCCCGTCCACCTTTTCTCCGGCCCCATGCATGCCTAACCCACTGTAGTAAGGCTGAAAGGTTGACAGACGCCAGCAGCGACTGACCGTTTCCTCATCGCCTACCTTGGTGCCGGTCGTTCCGCTGACTCCTCTCTGCTATTCCTCCACAGGCACGGCACAGTTCTCCTTGTTTTCTGATGGAATCGCAAGATAGTCTGTCCTGTAGTCGGAGGGAAGCACAACCTCAGGTGTGACAGTGCAAAAACCAGCTCGGGTCCATTCACCCTTACCGAGATACTGAATGCCTACAAGTATCTCTAAGGAAACAGATGTCACCTGGAGAAGATGCTCGCACAGTAGGAAACTCTCCTCGGCGTAGCCAGGAGCAGACACCAAGTCTTCCCTACTGTAAAATCCTACGCATACAGCCTTCCTACCACGTACAAAGAGTGCCCTTATCCAAGCCAAGCATGGAGAAAGATGGGAATGGGCCAGTATAAAAATCGGAACATCTCTGCTGCATCAGCTGAGTCAGACCTCCGAAAGCAGGCCTTCCAGGAGAGACCTCCGCGCAGTTCAAACCGGGCCTCGCTGGAATACCGTGCACTGTGGCCACCCTCCCTCCCTGGTGCATTGTGCAAGCGCACTGTCTCTTTTGGTACTCCTAAACAGTGCAACGATGCCAGACATAGCAAATATCAGCTAGAAACGCGCCATAGCAAAGTTCGGTCTTCTCGCAGTCTGATCTGAGACATCTGAAGAACCCTGGCAGAACAGCTCACATCCAGAGAGATTTCACACTTACGCGTTTTCCTGGGCAGCCTCCTCTGCCTTCGAGACTTTCCTGTAGCAATAGACCATTTCTATCAGCAGCCACAAGGTGAGGAAGACCAGCAGAATATACATCATAATTTCAGAGATGACCGAGGTGAAGTCTTCTCCAGCTGTTAAGAAAATGAAATAATCTCTGATCTATCGGAGCACCGCTGACACTGTCCACCCTCCTGTCATCCTTCCTGACCCACCTCGCCAGAGATACCCAGGTGCCACTACGCTGGGGGGGGGGCAAACAGGCCAGGCTGCCAATGGCATATGCCAGCAGCGATCCCACCGGGCGCTTCCAGCCGAATCAAACATGCACGGGCTTGCGTGTGTCTTGCATTCTCTGCCACCCACGCACTCGCCGGGATTGCTCACCGGTAGCCTACCTCATCTTCACACTCGGTTTCCTTTGTGCATCCTACTCACTGGTGTTACCTGATTGTACCGTGCCGCCAGTGATTTGAAAGAGATCACAACACAGAGATGCTTGTGGGGAAGAAGGGAAGGGAAGACAGAGCAGAAAAAGAGGAGGGCTAAAAGCTCTTGGCTGTCTCTGAAGAGAACAGCAGAATTCCCACAGATTTCTAACAGGCCAGGATTTGAGCATTGAACTGAGCAAAACCAAGAGGAACAGAAAGACTTGGGAGCGCTGCGAAGGAAAGGAGGGATTGGGAGAGGGTGGAATGGTATCAAAATGGAGAATGAGTCGTTCCAAGAGGGAGGTGGCGGAAGCAAGGAAGCAGAAGCTGCAGGAACCCTGGCAAAGGCTGTGCTGTAGCATCCTAGAGCCACCAGGGGAGAAGCGAGGGTTCTGAGCGGGGAAACTGGAAACCTCTGCTTGCTTTTTGTGCCTGCCCAGCTGTTGCCCCAGCCTGCCAAGCTTCTTACACCTTCCCAGGTCCACACATAACCACTCAGAGCCTAAAAAAAGGGCGGCAGCCGGCAAACAAAATGCAGGGCTTTCCTCCTGAACCCCGTGGGGTGTTTGCTGCTGGCAAAGACAGACGCAATTATCTGGCAGCTCAGTCTCCCCTCTCCTGCAAGGCAACGACAAACTCTATCCCCGGATGACAACGCCCACGGCGAGTTAAGGCACACCGCGCTTTCCGCCCATCCTTCGTACCCTCCTCCACCACGGTGAGGTGGATCAATCTGGAGCTTGTGAAGAGAGGCCGGTGGATCTCGAACTCAAACTCCCGGGTGATGTTACAGGTGTAGATACCGGAATCGTTCAAGGTCACATTTAACACAGTGATGGATACATCCTGCATGTCTTTACTCCCATTCCACTGTAACCGACCGCTGAAGCGGCTTGGGAATTCATGGTTCGTTTTCCTGTACTCGTAGATCTGTGAGGAAATGTGAAGGGGTATTCTGATTAACCGCCGACTCGTATCTCAGACACCACCACAGCATATGCAAGGAACATCATCATCCTCGAGCTACACACATGTATGTTCTGGGCTATGGCTTCCTTAGTAACAGCAGCTATTCAGATCCTATCTTCCTTTACCTCAAAATCTCAGACTACTTGACAGAAGACAGAAAACCGTCTCCAAAAAAACCCCACCTAAGACACGGAAAAAGAGAAACACACGTGGACAACGGCACAAAAGATGAGCACTGGAACCCTAAACCAGGGTCCTGCGGTCGCTGTGCCTAGCCTGTTGGTCACTGCACACAAGATCATCTTGAGGAACCACAGAATAAATACAGCAAAGACAAGCAGCCATTTTTGGTAAGCCCTGGGATATTCAGCTGAAATGGAAGTGTTGCAGGATAAATGTGACAGTGTGAAAACGGTACAACAGAAGAACGGAGCTCGGGTGGCTTTTGCAGGCCTCACGCCTTGCGAGTTTCTGGCTGACCGCGTCCCCACCACCAAACTGCCCGCCCCAGCTCACTTGCGTTAGCATTCTTTGGGTTGCCACTGGCAAATGTCTCACCCAGGAAAGTGAAATCCCATCTCATTCCTCAGCGCGGTCCCTTTAGTTCTCAGACAGGAGGACAGCACGTGTCACCTCGCCTGGCCCTGCTCAGTCGCGATGAGATGCAACCACTGATCTAACGCTTCGTACGCAGATAGAATAGCCAGAAAGAAACGTGTGCACGCAGCCTTTCTCTTACTCCCCGTTTTACCGTTCTTTCTTGCATTCCAGTTGCCCCTCGTCTAGATGATGCCCATTTTGATTCACTCTGAAAACGAATTTTACATCTTCCCGACAGGGAATCCAAACCAACTCACATAGATCCTCCCACGGTCAGGATACCACTGCTTCCTCTGAGGCAAAAAGAAGTAAATCCTGTCCTGCAGATTTATTGGAGCCTAATTTAACCTCCAAAGCACGGCTTTGGGATTCAGAGGTGTCCTAAGAAAGGAGACTTGGCCAAGGGTACCAGGCATTGCTCCATACTTTTCGTTTCCCTCCTTGATTTCCTTACATACTAGACTTTATGTATTCCAGGAATGGAACTGGAAATTCACATTAATGTATGTACAGCCCCAAACGTTTGAACTCAAGAACAGATTCTAGCTTTTCCTGCCGTGAGTTCATGCTGTGCCCAAGTGTGAAATCAGCTAAGCGAGGACAAGATACTTTAGTTACTGCTCAAAATTGGCGCCGTGGAACCTCTGGGTGAAAATGCTGCCGAAATTGTGAGGATCTGCAGCTTAGAGCTGAACTCCAAGCTCGTCTCTCCTCCGTGATGCGAAAGGAGCCTGCTGGGCATTTCTAGAGACTTTGAATAAGAATGGGGCAGAAAGCTTTTGTTCCTATTTGGGTGTCTCTCCTTCCCTTATCCAGTCTGCCTTGGGGATCCTGCCGCAGGACAAACTTATACTCTCATAAATACCTTTTGGCTTCTCCCACATGAGTTCACTTTCACGGTAAGACCTATAAAACAAGGGCTCAGCTACCAAGCATACATACAGGTTCATCTTTGCCACCCTCCGGCCTGTAGAACCATTCCACCACCGTGCTGGCTGTCACCTCCTCCCTCTTCATGCAGGAGATGCAGAGTAGCTTCATGTGCGTTCCTTGGACGGCCTCTGTCTCTGATGGAACTTCAACACATACTGCAGAACAAAAACCAGCTAGGAAGAAGGAGCAGCAGAGAAGAAACGAGACAGAGAAGCGTTAAGACAGAGTTAGAGAGGCACCAGTTATCCACATCTCGGCATTTATGATCACATCATCCCCAATGGAAAACCGTTTGATTCATTACTAGCACCCTCCGACAACAGATAAGTCTCAAATGTCAAATTTCACCAAGCTTCCTTCTCTGACATATAAATAATTCAGAATAATTAACCGAGGGTGATCACTTCATGCAGATTCACCTCTCCAGCATCTGCTTTGCCACAACTTTAATTTTTCCCATAGTAATTAATGCCGCTTTAGAGGCATTGTTCATCCTCCCCCATGCATGCTGAGCACGCTCCTCTTACAGTAGCAATTACAGGCTGGTATGAGAGAAAGCCCAGAATTCAAGCGTGGAGGAAAAGCTCGCTCTTTGTGCTAAGTTTAATGGTCTGGATGTTTTAATCTGGCAATGTGCTCAAAACAAACCGGGAGGACTCGCCACCCTTCTTGCTTCTAGGTTTCATAAGCAGTACTGGGAACCAAGGGGCTTGGACTCGAGTAAATTTAGCAACGGGAGGAGTTATTGATTTCACATGGATTCCTGATCAAAATGCTTCAGATCAGATCTGTGCTACTGCTGGCAACTATAAAATGCTGCTCACCCAAGCGAGACAGAAATTGTCGTCTGTGAAGCTGCAGACTTGCTAAGAAAAGGCATGCTTCGGCACGGCACCTCAGACTAAATCCCTGCTGACATTTGTCCCCTGGGCTAAACAATACTGGGTTCTGTCTGTCCAAACCAGTCTCCGAAGCCTAGAGTTTAGCTCGCTGAAGATGCTGACTTTGCTGGCTGTTTCCTCCTCCCCAGCCTCCGAGATACCATTAACCCCCAGTCTCGAGCACTCTAATATCCCGGGACCTATCCTGGAAATGGCCAGATTCCAGTTCTCCCGTACTCCCAGCTCCACGGGTAGCACCAGCGTTCTGGGAGCAATAAGGAAGAAGCTACTGGATCATGCTTTGGTTAAATTAGATACGTACACACAGATGTGCACCCACACAGGGAGCTGTAGGTGTACATGCACATCACATGTAGCTGCACTGGCAAATCTAACCAACCTTTCCTGGGAAGCAGAAAAAAAAAAACACCCCTGTAATCGCAATAAAATGATTTACTTCAGTTTATATAGAAATGGAAAACTCACATGCACTGCTTAGCGGTTTGCACACCCTCCCCGAGGCAAGTAAATGTTAAAATTACATCGTACATTTCAAAACAACAGCGAGCAGGAAACAGTAAAGGACTTGCATGCGTATTAAAGCAGACGCTTTGTGCCCTGAGTCGAGTTAGCGGTAATGTATTTTCTCTGCTCATACCAACTCCATTACATTCACACTAACTGGGCACGGATGTCGCTTCCTTCTCCTCTCGTAAACACAAAAAAAAAAGCCACTTCAAAGGCTGGTCTTTGCGACAGCGTGAAGGGAACCTTGCTAGGAAAAGCGGTGCTCTAAGAAGCATCCTACGGGAGGCAAGCACCAGCTTTGCTGGAGAACCTGGCTGAAGACGACACGGAATGGAAGCACCTACCCCAGACCACCAGCACGACCGAAGACG